AAAGTAAAAATTTCCCAGTAGTTTTCAAAAGCGCCGTGAAAAACAAAAGAAAAATTAAGGGAATTTGGATACAAAATCTGTTTTTGAAAAAATCGATTTTGGTTTTAACAAATCACCTTGGGTACATGAAATTTTGACTGAATATTTATATTAGCATTTTCTATATATCATAACATTTTCCAAATATTTTGACTTATTTTGAGCTGTTTAAGGACATTTTCCGTTTCCATTTTTTTTAGTTGTTTTTTCTATAAATTTCAATAAAATTTTATTTGTTGGTTAAAAAAGCTTGAAAATTGAATAGAAGGCTCCTAGTATATTGTTTCAAAGGCAGATGAAAAAAATTAAAAATCCATAGTCCCAATTTTTTTTTTATAATCATTTAAAGTTCAAATATTGACAAAATACGTAAAAATTACGAAAATTTGCAAATTATTTCGAGCTAGAAATTCATAAAAAATTTTTTTTTTAATCTAAGATTTTAAAATGTAATACAAGATTCCTTAATAAGTTTGTCTAAATTTATAAAAAAAAAATGTCTACAATAGGAACTCAAATTAAATTTGAGCGTTTGAAATTCATATTTTTACAACATTTGATATTCACTCAATTTCTCATGTAACGATTTTCTAATTTTGTTGTAATTAAAAAACGAATGAATGGAGATTTAAAATTGCACTGAATTATATTTATATTAGCATTTCCTATACACCATACAATTTTGAAAATATTTTGACTCTTTTTGAGCTGTTTACGGACATTTTTCGTTTTCGATTTTTTTAGTTTTTTTTTCTATAAATATCAATAACATTTTATTTGTTGTGTAAAAAAGCGTGAAAATTAAATGCAAAGCTCCTGATATATTGTTACAATAGTAGTTGAAAAATATTAAAAATACATAGGCAACATTTTTTTTTATAAGTTTTTAAAGTTCAAATTTTAGCAAATTTTATCACATTTAAAATTTAATAATAATTTTGTACCTAGTTAAAAATGTATAAAATGTTCAACTTTGGTAGCTAAGGACTGACAATTTAAAACAAGATTCCACGTAAATAGGTTGTATATAAATTACTTTATTCACCTTAATATCATCAAATATACTTCGTAATATCATAGGCTGACTGATCGTTTTCGCTAAGAATCGTTTTTCTTATGCAATGATATTAGGTATATCATTGAATTAAAATTTAATACCATCCATTTCGATGACCCACTTGTAACCTACTGGACAGCAGAGCGACTTTTTATTTTTCATATTATATATTTTACCATTTATAAATCTCTGATTATATTTAATTATTTTAAACCAAACTCTAGTCTTTTCTTAAAATTTATTTATATACATTATTAATTATTATCACTAACTAATAATAGTACTCTTACTCTACGACATGAGGTACTACATCCGTATAGAGTAACTTTCTAGTAATATTTCTAATGTTTTGTTATACCACATATTATTTCTTGTTACTAGAATTAAAAAAAATTGTGAGTTACCTAATCGTAATTTTAGTCGTTATACGTTCGCAAACAAGATTTAGAAAAATCTGGAGAGTTTAATAATGAAAAAATTCTGAATTTTCGAACATATTTTTCGAATAAAAAAGGTAGAACCTCTTCGCGGTGTTTGTTTGTAGCTGAAATACTGTCACTTTTCTAAATCGGACGAGTATGAAATATATAAATAATATATTAATATTAAACTGTTAGATAACAACATTATTATAACCCGTCCATCGGCTGATGTTACAGTTGGTATAATTTTACATATTATTATACTATAGTAATAAAAGGACGCCGATGGCCAAGATGAACTGGACGGTTTATAACAAACGAGAAAACATAATAATATTAAGTGGGTATACTAATTATTTCAAGTCAACACATATATTAACACTGAGTAATAAGTAATGACTAATGATTATTATATTGTAGGTACGCATTGGCTTAATCATACAAGAATCCGTAATGGGTAGTCATGAAATTATAATATTGCGGTAATTGTGTAAGCAGGTATTGTTGATTATAGTATGCAGGGGAAAAAAGTAATTATACTTGAGGAACCAAGCAAATATTATAATATGTTTGAGTTCAGAATTTATTTGGTTTGATTTTTATACTTATTACACACCGATAAATATTTGCAACAGATAAGCCTATTCCTTGACGAAAACAATCTGCGTTTTCAAAGGGATAGCTCGAAAGTAAGTAATAACTGATAATTTCTAAGGACTGACAAATTTTACTTGGACTTTAATGATATAATACCTTCGTAAAAATAATTATAAGATAATTTAATATGATTATATTATATATTCTATTTAATATAATATAACATTTTTACACGGTCTAAGTATAATATTATAACAATATTGATAGTTATTAAAAAGTTATTAAAAATTAATCTAAATTAAATCTAAGATATCAAATTATACTTAAATTGCATATTTAATTAACAATATAATATCAATCAAAATGTACAGTAAAGTATAAATAAGAATAATACTACGATACTATGATATGTGAAATTAATTCTAAGCAATTGTATTTTTAAAATAACTTATCACAATCAAATAGGCGTACAGTGTGGAATATAACGAATTAAAATTTAAAATTTCAGAATAAATTATATTCATAGTTGATTAGAACATTGAATTATAATGCAAGTTATTCACACGAATATAACTTTTGTATGAAATGATATAGATCTGTAACACGTGAGATGTATTATAACCTATTTTTTTTATTGTTAATTAATAAATCTTTACACGAACAAATAAAAATAAAAAATATATTATTATTCAATGATATATCGTCAAAAAAACATGTCCAATCTGGTCATTATTTTAAATCAAGTTTCATTTATACCAATACAGATAATAATGGAACCTATATAACTGAAAACAAAAATTTAAAACACTGTGACGTATAATATGTATCTTATTAGAAAATTGTACATTATTTTTAAACAGAATGTCTACCCATGTCTGTCCTCGTAGGTCTAACATTAATATATTATATATTTATATACCCAGTACTCACCCACAGATCACGATCTTGGATCTACCCATATAATTTAAAACTTACATTACCTACTATTTGGATACTGAATAGGGATTAATATGCAGTTACTTATATAACATTTATATAAATTAGCTCTGTAAGACTTAGTAGTCAATTAGACATCATCTATACAGATCTTTAATAAACACGAACCAAATATTTTAACCACCCATTTAATTTTTACTTTAAGTATTCCAAAAACTATTAAAGATTACAATATTTTATTAAGCATCTATCTACAGTTTTCAAATTCGTATTTCCAAATCATTAATTTAAAAAAAAAAGTTAATGACGGGGACAATCATGGTGAGATATCAATGAATATCGTGTATATATTGTAAATATAATATAATATTATCTTTAACAATAATAATATTTAACTATCTCAAAATTACAAAAAAATAATGTGAAAGGTTTGTTATTGTGCAATAACTATTTATATGTTAAAAAAGAAGAAAATAAATCATAACAAATTCAATGATTGGTTTTCAATAAATTTAAGTAGGTACCTATACAATTATTTGTATAATACAAATAAAAAATTAATACCTATACCTCGTACAATATATTATTTACCTTAATATAATATTATAATAATTAATAATCCATACCGTTTTATAAGTTAAAAGTAAAAACTAACATTTATTGTGGATGACAATAATGCGTATATTGTGAACAAGCTAATCAGTATAAAGACCATTAGCACAATATTATATAATATAGGATGGGTGCTTTCTGGTATTTAATAAGACTAGACACTAGTAAGTTATAACTTATAAATAATTAACACTGGGAAATTGTACTGATAACAATATATAGCATAAGAAAAACTAAGTTATAATAAAATTGAGTAGGTTATTTTTCTTTTATTAATTATTATTTTATCATGAACTTTACTGTGTATAACCTATAGTTTATGTAAGACTTATGAGTACTAGATAGATATTGAAAAATAACACATTTGTTTAGCTATATAACTATTTTTTTTTTTTTAATAAATATAGATAATTCAACTACAATCATTATCTATAATACCTATGCTTTTAGTTTAGGTATTGAATATCTTTTTTTATGATGTAAAATATATACATGGTGTGACTGAGTCATTCGTGATTTATATATTAGCTCCGTTGGATTTTTTATTCTAATATGATCCTCTCGTTTACGTAATACACATACACTGGGGGAATATTTACAGATTTAATACTTTCGGGAAACTATACATATACAAGAAAGTTCAACACTTCAACCCCCTTTCAACACCTCAACTCACAATGATATTACAATTAGTAATTATTGTTTAGAAAACAAAAAACCACAAACAATTTTGACTTGTCGACTAGCCTTTAAACGCTAACACCGGACGATTTTCGTTATTTTCCAGTTTCCTAAATACTAAGGCTGGTCAGTGGTCCTACATTATTGTACGTACCTACGTTCAAATAATATAATATACCTATATAATATTACTAAAACAATAGTAGGTATATGGCGTGTATTGTTTTCACTTTCACGTAATTCGTTCGGATTATATGTGAATTACCTATAATAATATGAAATACGTAGTTCGTAAAGTTAACACATATTTTGGCACTTACGATGCATTATTTATTATTAATATATTAGATTATCATCATAACAATCTTATATCCGATTTTTGATATTGTCGATTCATATGACGGCGCGTCCTCGTGACATAACGATAACGCGCATTTCTGTTCCGATTCGTTTCGTTCTTCTTCCTGCACCGAGCTTCATTTCCTATTCACGACCCGTACCCGCCAAACTTTCCAGTCCGAAAATCTAATCCAGTGAAAGCCAATCGATGTGTCCACGACTGAGTGTATAAAACTGAAACTACGGGTGTCCTGTCATTCATTCGATTCGTCTGTCTTCAAGCTAGTGCACCGAGAACAACCAAACGAGACAAAGCCATGAAGTCGTTTTCAGTAAGTATAATATCATGATATAATATATTACACGTATTTATATAGGTACCTATACATTGCTTGTTTTCGAAGCAAGTGCACCTAAGTTCACTACATAGCGTATTCGACTTAATGCAATAATATAATTTAGGTACCTATCCGATATTCTAGCTACCTATATACCTAATATATTATATGAGCTACAACGGTCAACGGTGTTGCTAGGTAATAATTCGAACGAAAAGTGTAGCTCTCAAGACTGTTTTTGAATTTAATGACATTTTTTCATGTTTAATAACACAATATAATCAAAAGATGAGTTATAACTACATAATATTGTCACAATTATTGTCGTTTTTTATTGATATTTTTCATTTTACTTTAATTGCACGCTACGTCTTATGGTATTTATAATGCCATTAATACAGATGATATTTTATATACTAGATACTTACCAGTTTATACCTATATTTACCTATTTAAGTTTCATTTTATTGTTCGGGTTCGCGATCATTCTATAAACAATTGTAACACTAAATTTTTTTTAACTTGCTTACCCCAGTAATTTTTTTGACATTCCATTTTTTTCAAAGACAATACATAATAGACATAGTATATATTATATGACATATATTTTTAATATAAACTGAAATTGTTTTCAAATTACAATTGGCTTTATATATTTGGTATGAAGGTATACACATTTTCTATCAACATTTTCTACTTTAGGATTTAATATTAATATTTAATAATAAAAATGTCGACATAAAAATTTTTAAAAATTGTCATAAAAATAGCGCAACATATATTTGGACGGTGTTTGGGAGAAAGGGTTCAAGTCCATTTTTGGTCATTTTGATGTAAATAGTCGATTTTGTAGGAAATTTTGTGCCGCATCGATTGGTCAAACTGTAATGCATCCATGATCATTTGTTATCAATTTATTTTCAAGTGCGTTTTGATTCAAGTCATAACGGAAATAATTTGTTGTGAGAAACGGCCCAAGTCCAATAACATGTTATCACTGTTATGTGATAAACGGTCTAAGTTATTTTTATAATATAATTTTTCGTGCATAAGGGCACAAGTCATACAAACTTTTAGTGAACAAAGGCACAAGTCACATGCAAATGTTCAGAATTTAAGTGTCATTGGGCATAAGTCCATGTAAACAATAAGAAATTCTTTTTTTACTTAAAAAGAATTTAAAATTGCAATAATTATAACATAAAATAATTATATTCAATATAAGACATGAATATTTTTGGATTGGGTACCATATATTATGTTTTTTTCGTTTATTGAAAAACTATGATTTTGGACTTGAACCCTTTCTCCCAAACACCGTCCATTTTTTCCTGAACTTTACAAGTATTATAAGTAGACAAGTTGCTAGTACTTGATAATTTTATAAAATATAAACTATAATTTAATAATTAACTTATTTCAATATATACTATAGTATATTTAATTATAATACGCGCGGGGCAATGATCAATTGGGCAGAGTAAGCATATTATTATACGTGAGTAGATATTTATATTTTTTTTACATTTATTGCGCTTTTCACCATGTCACTGCACTCTCATCCATACAGGTGGCACACCTAATACTCAAATTATTAACGATATTCATTACGACCAATACCAAAGAGTTCATACCTAATAAAATATCATAAATCACAATTATAGGCATAAATCAGGGGTGACCAATTATAATATTTTTAAAGTTAATTTATTAAGAATAAGAACTTTTTGGGGCCCATCAAAATTCAACGTATTATTATATTTTAACCGAAGAAAGCAATGGTAATATCAAAAAATCAAATGAAAGCCTCATTTAATTCACAATGCAAAATAATAATTTAAAAAACAAATTTCCTGTCTGCGGGCCAGATGAAATTTTTCCTCGGGATTTGGTATAGAATTCGGTGATCGTCAACCTTTTTGGACTCTCAGACTGTAATCAAAGGCCGTGTCGACCGTGTTTAAATTATTTAAAAAAATAATGGCCAGTCGTATGGAGTAGTCACGAGGGCCGCCGGTTGGACCACCTGTATAGATTATTTGTGCAGAATACGTGTTTATAACGGATATTGTATTCCTTTCAGGTGTTCTGTTACGCGGTGTGCGCGGTGACCTTTATTGGTTCGACAAGGTGCGAACCAGCAGAGGACAGTGCTTCGACTGACAAAGCACCACCGGCCAACAGGAGGAGCATCGGCGAGTACCATGGACTGTACGCCCCAGCGTATCACACTCACTATGGTGCGGCCGCGGCCACCTATCACGGCCACTACGCTCCAGCGACGGCCCACTACCACGCTCACGGTTACGCAGCTCCGGCACACTACCACGGCCATGGCTACGCACCTGCACACTATCACAGCCATGGATACTCACCGGCACATTATCACAGTCACGGGTACGCACCAGCACACTACCACCATCATGAGACCACTGTGCACGGGTTCAAACACCAGCCTGTCGTCTACCAGTCGGTGGTGCACACGTATCCAACGGCCACCACGATCGTCCACAAACCAGTGCCGGTGCCCGTCGCCCACCCCGTCCCGGTGCCCGTCGTCCGACCCGTGGCCGTTGAAGTTCCTCGGCCGTACCCAGTGGCCGTCAACCGACCATACCCGGTGACCGTCATCAAGCCCGTCGCCGTGCCCGTGGCCCAGCCGTACCCGGTGACGGTGTACAAACCGTACCCGGTGCCCGTGTACCGGCCGCTCCCAGTGGCCCCGGTGGCCAGGCCAGCCGCCACCACCGTACATTACGTCACTAGACTTCCGACAGTTCGCGTACCGCTCGTCAGGTATCCGGCACCGTCGTATCATTCGCACTCTTACGCTCCACACTATCACGGTGCGGTGGCTTACCAGGGTCCGTCTTCATACCAGGGATCGTCTGCTTATCAGGGACAGTCGTCGTACCAGGCTGCTCAGTCTTCGTTACTGCAAGGATCGACTGCTTACCAGGGATCGTCTGCTTACCAAGGACCGTCGGCTTACCAGGGACCGTCGTCGTACCAGGCGGCGTACCCGGCTGAGGCAACGTCGTCTTATCTGCAACAGCTGGCGGCTCTTAGAGCGGCCGGTGGCAACTACGATGTGAACGAAGCGGCCGCACAGCAACAGACACTCCAAGACGAATATTCATACCTACAAGAGCAACGGGACGTCGGTGCCACCGATATCCATCACCATCACCACGACGATAACGCCCATCACCTGCACGAGCACGGCTTGATCGACCAGGACGGTGATTTAGGATCCAGCGCGGGTTACCCGTCGTTGACGGCTGACGAGACATTCAAGACCAGCTTGGGAGTGCCAAACACCGACTACACAGGCAAGAAGAAATAAAACATTAGCGACGATTACGTGGAACGTGCAAAACGACTGCAGCAGATCTGCGATGTCAACTCGAAACGATAGGACTTGTCGAAAAAAATGTCTTTTAAATTCCCCTTGAACACGGTTAACTTTAACCCGGGAGACGACTGTATATACTTTGTTTATTGTTATATTATTATTATTATTATTATTATTATTACTATTATTATTATTATTTTTATTATTAAATATTATATAGTATGCCATCGGATTAGTAGACTCGACTGTAGTCTGTAGAGACATATTGTGTCATTTTGTTGAAATAAATTTGAATGTAATAATTGTTAAAATGTCCTCTACATATATACCTACTTACGTGTTCGTTAAAAACTATTTGAACGGTTTTATAAGAACGGACATCCCCATTATTTCTTCATAATCATGTACCTACCTATAGAATACATAGGTTATAGGTGCTCTCTAACGTATATAATATATAATATTACTAGCTGATTCCGTGCACTTCGTTGCCCATTAAATGTATCAACTCTATATGACTCAAACTTTGTTCAATTCGTTATATAAATATTCGGTGTAAGGTGTTCAAAATGTATCTTAACTTTTCCGTTGCCTGGAATAAAAATTCTGAATCGCAGCAGTACATTATCAGGTAGGCAGTCTACCTGCGGTAGATTGCGAACCCCGTGCTGTTTGTACGTAAGTGTATGATTTAACTCTAAAGTATCAAAATGATACCAAATTTGTCGTTTTTAATTAATTCCACCTACGGTTGATTAAAATAATCAATTTATTTAATCCCATTAAATATAATTTATATTTTTTTAATATAATATAATTTTTTTTTTTTTATTATTATTATTATTATTATTATTTATTATTAAAGGTAAAAACCCATGCCAACCATTTATAAAGAAAAATTTCCATCTGAAAACTCAAAATGCCCATTTGAGCACCTCCCGGGGTTGGTCCTCTCCCTTTTTAAATTAGTTTTTGTTTTAAGTTGGACCAAAATAGACACAGTGTAAAATTTTCATCAAGATCGGTCCAGTAGTTTTTACGTGAAAGAGTAACAAAGTCACAAACTTTAGCGTTTATAATATTAATAGGATATATACATGACCTTACTGTATGAACAATGCGACCGTTTCTATGGACCAATATACTACTATAATATTATATTATATCAATTTCGATCAGTTGTCACCAAACAATAATTATTGTAGTATAATTATTTAAGTACTTATTTCCAAAGTAGGTATATATTATATTTTATACGATTACCGTAAAAATTATTTACAGTTGGTAAAGTTTTTTCTTTGTTTGAAAAGTCTTTCAAAAACAAAACACCATCATAATATTATATTAATATGTATGAATTAATAGTTGTCCCCCTCGTACTCATCAGCGTGTTCGTGTCGAATATCATCTCTACGCAAGACGTAAACCTGTCCATGTTTATGTATTTGGCCAACCATTTAACTCCACAAGAATGTGTAAAACTCACTGCTTATTTGTATGCCGAGGGCCTTGAACTGACGGCAGCCAAAGAACTTGGTAAACAATCATAAAACCGTTGCCCCTGAATTGAATACATTTTTTGAATAGTATAATATAAATAATATTATAATAAATTAAGAAGTAGATACCTATCTATTATAAAAAAATTGAATAGGTTTAATTAAAAACAATACTTTTATACTTAAGAAAATTGCATGCTTATTCCATTAATCCGTTGAATATGTTCACATAATATATTATTATGATAAACAAATGCAGATACTAATATCGATAAACCGCAATAATTATGAGGAATATAGCAGATAACGCAATCGTGGCATTATCCTTATGTAGATTATATATAAGTATAGTTGTACATAATATTATAACTATTGACGGTTTGCATTGTTTACATTTTTGTTTTAAATGTATTTTATAAGTGTGAAGTATTATTCAAACGTTGTATCAAACAAGTAATAAAAAACTAATATAATATTATAGTATAGGTACTTATATATAATTAGGAAACAGTTTGTATAATATGAAAATAAGCATTAATATATTTCATCATTAATAATAATTAATAAAAAAAAAAGGTGGGCAAGTTGGTGTCGCTCTGCTGTACAGTAGGTTACAAGTGGGTCACTGTATAATGGATGATATTAAATTTGAATTCAACGATATAATATCATTGTATAAGAAAAACGATTCTGAGCGGAGACGGTATGTCAGTCTAGGTATAAGACATATTATATACATATCTATGGTACTAAACCAAAATTTGACCTATAATAGGTACCTATAATAAATTCCAAATTAATCATATCAAAATATCCATTAGGTACTTATAACGCGTTATACATCAACAAAAACAGTGATACTATCATAGATATATAATAGTACACTTTAGAAGTTTCAAGTACCCACGAATAATATTATTCAATCACAACAAAATAACTAAAATAGTTATTCTAGGTTTTTTAATATGTAATTTCGTCCAAATTTGAATTTAAAATGTCTGTTAAAAATAACTGTGTTCATATATTTTTTAGATTTTTTGGTTACAGTATGAACTATTTATGAGAACCTTTGTTTTAAATTTGCAATCCTTATCTATAAAAACTGAACATTTTATAAATTATTAATTGCAATGATTGATAATTTTCGAAATTTTGATAAATGTTGTCAAAATTCGATCTTTAAATGCTTATAATTTGGCCCAACAAATAAGACTTTATTGATATTTATAGAAAAAAAAACTAAAAAAAAATTGAAAGTGGTAAATGTCCGTAAGTAGCTCAAAAAGAGTCAAAATATGTTCAAAATTGTATGGTGTATAGGAAATGCTAATTTAAACATTCAGTGAAATTTTCATGTATCTACAGTTATTCGTTTTTGAATTACAACAAAATAAGGAAATCGCTACATGAGAAATCGAGTAAATATCCAATGTTGTAAAAATTTGAATTTCAAACGCTCATAAAAATTTAATTTGACTTTCTTATAGACATTTTTTTTTGATAAAGGTAGATAATCTTATAAGGAATCTTGTATTACATTTTCCAATCTTAGATTTAAAAAGAAAAATTTTTAAGAATTTTTAACTCAAAATAATTTGCTAATTTTAGTGATTTTTCCATATTTTGTCAATTTTCGAACTTTAAATGCTTATAAAAAAAATTGGGACTAAGGATTTTTAATATTTTTCATCTGCCTTTGAAACAATATACTAGGAGCCTTCTATTAAATTTTCAAGCTTTCGCAACCAACAAATAAAATTTTATTGATATTTTTAAAAAAAACTAAAAAAAAATGGAAAATGAAAATGTCCCTAAACAGTTCAAAATAAATCAAAATATTTTGAAAATGTTATCGTGTATATAAAATGCAAATATAAACAACCAGTGAAAATTTCATGTATTTACATTCATTTCTTTTAGAGTTACACCAAAAACCAAAATCGATTTTTTGGAAAACCGATTTTGCGTAAAAATTCCCGTTTTTCCTTAATTTTTATGTTGTTTTCCCCGGCGCTTGTGAAAACTACTGGGAAATTATTACTTTTGACCCCCCAAAGTACCAACTAGATTCTTTTTCCTATCAGAAAAGCTACTGTTGAAAAAAATCCAAGCACTTTTACTGTTCTAAAACGTGATGACAGACACAAAAAAAAAAAAAAAACACACATCATTGTAAAATCAATACATTCATCGTGTTTCACTCAGAATCTAAAATTATAATAAATATATTATAAAAATAGTGGAATTCTATACTTGGTATTTTTCAGGGCATGAAACCGCTTATGAAAAATTTGGTTACCGGGTCCGGTGCATATTACTTATTATTTCGGCTGCAGACAGTATACCATCTTTAATCGTACTTATTATGACATTACATTTTATTATCTTGTAAATTAAATTATTAATCAAAAAAATTGAATACAATTTCCAAAAAAAAAAATATAAAAATCAAATATAACGTTATTTTTTTTTTTCCGTATTTGTTGAATTTTAACAAAAAGGTACGTTACCCTTATTAATTGAACTTGGTGGTTACCGGTAATTGTTGACTGCTTCTCAAAATTTAAACTTACAAATCGGGAAGCGGTTACCAGACCCAAAATTGGTCATGGTAACCGGTGGTTTCCGTTAAAGACCGGTAACCGGTTATACCTAACCTGGTGTTTTTTCTGGATGATTATTCAATAGGCACCTATACTAGTGAACAACCCAATATATTATACTATTATAGTTCAATAAAATATTTTAAATTTCTCTTAAAATAATAAATAATATATTATACTTATCTGCAGAACAAGACTTGCCCTTAGACGAGACTTGTTTATCGTTACTAATGACGTGGAATAACAGTGCTGGAAAGGAAAAAAGTTTTCTCAGTATAGCTAACTGTTTAAGAAAAATAGGCCATGAAAAATTAGCCGAATGGTTGTCGGACACTGTTTTTAGTCAATTAAGTATGGAATTAAATAATAGTTTTCTTCAAAACACTACAACACAGAGAAATACAGCTACAATTTCGTCTCGATCACAGAAAATTCAACAGTAAGAACAGATACAAATTCTCAATAAAATATAACAGCTATTAAAATAAATATTTAAAAAAAAATAATAATATTTTGCATGTATTTGATAGAACTGAAAGTTGTCCATATGATAGAAATGTTTTGTTTTTATTATTCGATACGTTTTGCATGTATTTCATTTTGATGGCCATCGTAACATTTGTATTCTATTCATTGGGTTTGTTGATTCGAACTGTGAAAGAAAGCAAAAACATTCTAAGCAAGTATTTTATTTTTTAGAAATTAAAAAGTGACATTATGTTATGTAATATAATCATAATCATCATTCATCAACCATTATATATTCTCGAACTGTTAAATAAAATTATATTCATTGAATACATGAACAAAATGCTACCTATATCATAAAATTAGAATTATTAGTTTTCTCTGACCTTATAAAATTAATATATGTAATTTAATATGTATT